GGGTTTAGGGTTTAGGTTCAGGGCTCCGACCAGCCAAGGTGTTCTTCAGACATGGGCTTAACCTCGTAGCACAGGGTGTAGCATTTCCCTAAACCCTGGATCAGGATTTTGGGCTGTGAGATGCTGTGAGGGCCATCTTAGTAGTTGAGAGTAAAGAACCGGTAACTTTCCAGGAGAGCTATAACCCATATGTGTAGTTCTCTCGACTAGGGTCTTTTAGGTCCCCATACTAGTCCGGCACCCTCATAACAAGGACCCTAGTGTAGGGTTCAGCATGTACGGTTGGGTTTAGGGCCTGGGGTCTGCCCGTTTTGATCCACAAGGTGACGGTGAGTTGTTCGCCGCCGGCCTCAAGTGACCCGTCTGCACGTGGAGTCCTAAATGGAATCAGTGTTGTTTTTTGTAGTTTTTGGTAGTCTCCGTTTCACCTCGCTTTGTGGCTGCCTTTTCCGTACTACATCGGAGACGATAATGAGGTATGGCTCTGTGGCTCTGTGGAGTTTCTAGTTCATGCGCAGGGATTCGGGATTGAGGGCTTGTGGGGACAGGCTCCAAAGTATCTCTGCTAACACCGCTGCCTGCTACAACTTACAACAACGGAGACGATGCTACCGTCACCCTTGACGCAGAGCCCTACATTGCCCTACATTATGGTACTCAGACCTTCCAATATCCCTTACTTAAGCGATATACCTTGAATCACATTAGTGATCCTCTTATGAGTTAGGGTATATTCCTTAATTACGGATATCGGAAGCTCTGGGTAGATCCTACCCTGAAACCCACCCGTCCTGCCGCTGTTACCACGACGGCAATGACAAGCAACATAAAAGTCAGGGTGTCGGTGCCGGGCACCCTTTCTGCAACTGAAGGGACGAAGAACCCCAAACCCTAAACCTCTATATCGGTACTATGTAGATGCTTGGACTAGTTGGGTTCATGGGCTCTGTATTTCCACTCGGCTCTGTGCGCGGTGCATCGCGGTGCACGGCTTATCTATGTTTTTGACAACATACGCCGTAACTTGAGGCCCTTATCAGGGTTTAGGGTTTAGGGCCCTAAACCCTAAACCCGAAATCCCTAGCCTTAAACCCGACTCGGACAAGGAGTTACACTTCGGAAATGCCCGCCTCACCTTAGATATAGGCCCGAATAGAGTTTAGGGTTTAGGGCCTTTAGGGTTCGATAGGCTTTGTGGAGTGCATGACAGTAGAAGTATAAAGGACTACAAGGGATTTCTACTACTTACTAAGTGGGTAGTTATCTAAACTGGCGTCCTTTTTTGGTCCCCCAAATAGTACGGCACCCTTATAGCAAAAAGGAACCCAAAAGGGACCCTAATTTTGATATATTTGGATAACTGCTCAAATATGTCAGGCACTTATCGCCTGGGGCTCGGGCTGAAGCCTCAAGCCTTTGCCAACATGCGGGCGGAAGTAGGTAGGCTTCAGGTCCACCCTAAAACCCCAGAACCCTAAACCCTGAGTCGTGTTTCAACTGAACCCTAAACCCAAAACCCTAAACCCTAAACCCTAAACCGATGATATGAATTTGGCGACGTTGAATTTGGGGGAGCCACGAGCCCCGAACGCAATCTGAACAAATCGGAGGCTGAAGCCGTAATGAGAATCTACTCCTGGGCAGCTGCAAAGGTCTAAAATCCAGCCCCTAGACACCTCTGTCCCTAGACCCTTATATATAGTCATAACCTAAGCCCGAAGCCTTAAACCCAGAAACTGTGCCTCCGAGCGCCGCGCAACTCAGGAAGGGGGTTGTGTCTGTGGCGCAAGTCACCGAGGATGATGTGCAACTCGGATCGAACCCTCGTAATTCAAGCCATAGGGTTCGTTTCGTTGTTCCTATAAGGGTTCTGCCAGGTACTTCGAGGGATCTGCGAGGATACGATCATGGGTTTTATTAGGGTTCAGACTTGAGTGTCTAGGGTTTGAGACTTTCGGGATTTATTCACTTCTGTTCTTTGATTGTGAGGGAGAACAAAGCGTAAATGCAGGCTCTCTCAAAGAAGAGGAGTCCTGGAATTCATGGCCTCGTGTCTTGAGGGTTCACATGTGCTTATTCGCCCATTTACCAGTGCCCCCCTTTGCATTACCGCACCTTGCCTAAACGCTAAACACCCTAACCGTACCTATAAGTACAAAGACCCAAGCGCAAGTCCTTTGAACCCCATGCGCCGTTTCCCTACTCTTCCACGTAGTTCCTGTAAAGCATAGCCAGCTTTTGGTCAGGACCAAAACGCTAGAAGCCGCTAGAAACACAAAACACGATTGCAACGAAGGGTATGTGTGCATATACATATATATATATATATATATTTATTTATTTATTTATTTATTTATCTATTTATACACACATATGTCAACGCCTGCATGTACATGCATACATAAGACATATCCATGTGCATATAGATGTGTATAGATATATATGCATATATATATATATGTATATATATATACACATATATATATATATATATATATATGTGTGTTTTTATATATATATATATGCATCTATACACAATTATACGCATACGTGTACACATTTGCATTTTACAGTTACATTTGCATTTACATTTACATTCACATTTGCATACATTTACATATGCATACATTTACATATACATACATACATACATACATACATACATACATACATACATACATGGATGCATGCATGTATGCTTACATACACACATACATACATACGTACACACATGAATACATACATACATCCATCATACATACATTACTTACATACATTACATACATGCATGCATACATACATACATACCTACATACCTGCATACCTACAAACATACATACATACATTACAGACAGGCATTACATACATACATTACATACAGACGTTACATACATACATACATACATA